AGAAGCCAGGAAACCGTGGAGGTGGGGTTAGTCCCCAGCTCTAGACAGACTGAAGTCTACACAATGCAGTAGAGGTTGGTCAGGCGCAGCAGTGTGAACGCTGGTCTATGTGGGAGACCAAGGGGCCGTGGGACGGAGGCCGGGGGTGCCAATGAAGAGTGCTCGTACGTTAAGCAGCACTGTGTAAAACTGTGTACTTCAAGCTAGAAAAGACAACAGGAACAGGACAGGCTGCCCCTGCCTGGGCAGACCAGCTGTCCAAGACTCTCCAGAAGAGCAGATGCTGCCGAGTGTGAAGTACCCTGAGCCTCATTTCTGCTGCCTCTCGGTGTTTCTGACAATGCTGAGTCAGAGTCACCCAGACAACATCAAGCCCAGTGTAGCCGTGGGAACCGAGGAGGAGAGCTGGTAAGGTCAAACATACCAGTCCCCACAGAAAGCAAGCTTTGTGCTGAATTCTCCAGCAAATGGAAATACTTAGAGAACGAAAAGGCAGTGGAGTGTGGGTGGGGGCAGGCAGTGCAGGAGGGCCTGTCCCTGTCTCACCCACGGACGGGTGGCCTCCCTCTTTGTGGTCCAGAGGCCCATCACTGCTGTGTTCCGGCTCCTTCCCCTTTCCCCTCCCTTCCCACCACCGCTAGAAAGGATTGCTGACAGGCTCAGGGCCCTACACACCCTGCAGAACGAGGAGTTATTTGAGGAACAGGCCTTCAGATTTCTTCACAAAATCAGTAGTCATTTCATGAATTAATTGCCTTACTCATGCTAAGTGCTTACACAACGTGTAAGACAGATTCTTGTCTTTAAAGAAATGACCGTCTCTACAGAAAGTAGAAAGTAACAGATTGGAAATTATTAGCTAACGATATAGCACATTACTAAATTTTCCATTAGGCAAGATCTTAAGTATTTTTCAGCCCCACAGGGTGTTTAGCAGAGTCGTGCACATAAAAGGGGGCTGTGGGCACCCCGGAGGCGGTGTGTCCTGGGTCACGGTCACAACATCTGGGGGCCTGTGAGGAGGTGACTTCCTCCTGTGAACCAGCAATGAGGCTTCAGCAGCTCACCCCGCTGAGTCCCATCTTGGCTCAGACGGAGTAGAAGACCTCCCTAACCCTTAGGGTTTCTCCGTTTTCCCCGAATCACTGAAGTGGGACAGGAGCACGTGGACAGAGCCTGGCACGCAGACTGATCCCATGGGTGCTCCTCGAGGCTGCCTCACCTCCGTTCTCCTCTCGCGGTTAGTTAGGAAAGAAGTTTTTATCTCTAAAGCGTCCTGAAAAATTACCCCTCAGCCCCCTTCTGGGGATATGGTGACCCCCCCCTTGTACTTGGGAGCCGAGGGGTGGTCCGCAGTGAGAAATCCATGAGGACGGGTTAGGAGGAAGCAAGCTCCCTCCTGTGGGTTCGCTGGGGGCGACGTGAAGAGAAGGGCTCTGTGGCAGGAGGACATGGGCAGCCAAGGCCTGGCAGGGCCAGCGAGCGGGTAGTGGGCAGAGGAGGGCTCCAGAGCAAACCCGACTCGGGCAGAGGGGACACGGTGCTCTGAGACGACTCCGCACCTGCGGGTCCTGCTTGAATCAGAGCTCCCATCCGGAATAAACGTGTCATCAGAGCAGGCCTGGAAATACAAACAAATGGTGAGAGACCGCCTGTTAATCTCAGTGAAGGAAAGAGTCGTCCTCGAACCTTGTCCCCAAGATTCCATGTCGTGTAGCTTGGTCACAGTTACGGCCTTGCCGGTCCACCAGCACCCGCCCCTGGGTACCCAGGTGGTGGGGATTTTATATTGAAGGAAGAGATTGTTTAGGCTAATAGGCAACAACAAGCTGTGGCTGAGTCCCTGTTTGCCCCTCTCATGAGCTTATTTCTGGAAATTCTTCACATTGCTGTGAATCTGATGTCCTCTCTTGTTTGTCAGCATGGGTAACACATTCCGTCAACCGCCAGAGGGATTTCAGCAGCCAGCGTCAGGCGTCGTGATAACGTTAGATACAGACGCAGACAGGGCTGTGGACGCACTCGTGCATGTACGTACAGCATGAGGGCTCTGTCTCTCACAGGGGACGCTGTATGTCACAGGGCGTATCAGTGTGCTCACAACCCAGCCTGCCAGGACGCCTGGTGCAAGTGCTGTCATTAAAAGACCCCACGGCAGCTGCTAAGAGAGAGGGAGGTGGCAGTGGTCAGAAGAAACTCAGGGGACTCAGTGTGAGAAGGAGACGATCCCTCCGTTTGCCTTGTAACTGTTTAAAGGACGGGTTCTTACTTTTTAGGCAATTGGAAGACTTAAAGATGTCTTTGCTCTTAAGACCTGAGTCTCAGAAAGACGACCCCGCTGTGAATGCGAGCGACAGCAGCACAGGGAAGGGACTGCCCACAGGAACATGGCTGGTGGCTCTACCGGGGGTCCGGATGCTCATTGCAGCCCAGGACGGCAGGGGCGAGGGCATAGACAGCTTGTGCCTGTGACATTGCGCTGGTGGAACCAGTGGGACAAGGTCACTAATGAAATATGGTGAATGAGAACTAGAACATTATTAAAAATAACTGAGCACTTTGAGTCAGGGCAACTGAGGCAGAGGCAGCCGAAAACTAGAAGAAAGGCACTGGTTTGAGTCAGGGAATGGCTGACAGGTTAAATTTGAGATGCTTCAGTTAACAACGTCAACAGGAATGTTGGACTTCAGAGAAGAATTGACAGCTGGAGACAGTTCTGGAAGGATCGTGCTTACTGGTCATTGTGGCAGATGTGGAAATTACTGTGTTCACCCAGGGAAGCAAGGCAGCGCCTTGGGAGCACCTCTGTCTGGGCAGCAAAAGGATGGAAGAGGGCCCAGGGAGTGCAGAGCCAGGTCTGAAGCAGAGCCCCACGTGGAAAGGGCGGGACAGCAAGGGTTGGAGGCAGAGCTGGAACGGTCGGGCCAGACAGCATCCAGTTTTGCAGAAGATGTGTGTGCTGTGCCTCCCTGGGATGCTGATGGAAATCATAAGTAGGGTCCCTACTCACACTCCCGCTCCTTGCCTCCCAGAACATCGCCCTCCTTTTCCTGGCAGTCTCTTCTGTCCTGGTCATTTGCGCTAATGCTATTGCTGCTTCCAGGTCTTTTTAGAAGCAAAGTGCTAGCAAGATCCTAGCTTTCAGTCTTGGCTTCACCACTTGCCACAGTCAATAAGCTAAGGTAGACCAGTTATCCTCCCCAAGCCGCTCTGCTCAGCAGTACAAGGGGGGTAAAACAGCCACCTTGCTGAGTCGTTAAAGCACTAAGGTAATCCTATGAAGTTGTCAGCATGGCACCTGGCTTGAGTGAGCGCCTAGCCATTTGCATTTATGAAGTGTAGCCTGTATCTGCCCTCTGTCATTCTTGGTCCCTCCACCCCTTTATGTCTTTCTTCACCATCCCTGCAACTTCTCCCTTTCTTGTCCAGTTTAGACTCTGAGAAGAAACCTTGGAATCAGAAATCTACGAAGGGGAAATGGCATGATTACTCCATCTCAGAAGTGGGCTAGCCTGACTTTGCCCTGCCCTGCTCACTGCATTGACACCTGTGGCCTGAGCTCTGTTAGGGATAGAATAATCGGGTTCTATAAGATTTATCCCAGAAGTATTTTTGTTAGAATAGTGAGAAGTGCAATAATTGAGTGTTCCACAAGAATGTTGGGAACTTCATAGTGAATTGTATGTAGTTTTGAAACAAGAAGAAGAAAGGTAATTTGTACTTCTTTATTCATTTACACGCCACAGTTTGGGTTGTTTTCAAATAACACTAGAGTTCTCTGGAATGTAGGACTCGGGGTGTGGTGATGGGGTGCTTGTTAATTGCAGTGTCTAAGCTGAACAGATCTCTATGAATTTTCATTTATGCATAAAGCACCAAATAAGCAACTGAAAATGAATCCTTCGTAAATTACCTGCACACACAGGATTTAATTTCTTCCCGGTCCTATCAGGGACTATAGCATCCCCATGATGAATCTGAGGGTGCACGTCCTGGGGAGAGTGTAGGAGGTTGGAGGCTGATGGAGCTCATTGGAAAGGCTGCAGGAGTCAGCAGATGGCAACCAGTTGCTTTCTAACAGCAATAGAATCCAGACGTCAGGTTGGCTGTGTTTTCCAAATCCAACAGGAAACAGCTGCTTGGTGTAGAGGTTGTACAGGGAATTCAAATTTCCCAAGAAGGGGAAGCTCTAGAGGCAATCTGACGTTCAGCAGACAACTCCAGGGGCTGTGTTTCCTCCGTGGATCCACATCTTTCTCCCTCTGCTCAAGATCCTACACTCTGGGGTCTCCTTGGGAGCCATGACCAAGTCAGCAGCTGAAGTGACTCAGCTCCTTCACTCCAGGGACTCAGGATCTTGGATTGTGTTTTTTTTTCACTGCCAGAGTGAGTGATGGTGCTGCCTGTGTGTGAGTGGTCACGGGGGGAGAGCAGCATGGTGCAGAGGGCCCAGGACATGGTGACAGAGCAGATGGAAGCCTCAGGAGATGAGCAGAGTGTGTTCACATCACTTAATCCCAGCTGCTCACAAAGCCCTTGTGCCTGCTCTGTGCCACCTCTCACCTCCCTCCTGCCATCACTTCCAAAAGGGAAAACAAGAAAACCTGAGGTGGCCAATTCCCATAAGGAGTTTGTAGAGAGAAGTCAAACGTTCTAATGGTGATGGGAGCCGTGTAGACTTTGACCAGATGGGAAGAAAATTGTTATTCACGTGGTATGCAGTTGAAGCAAGTATTTTCTCCCCACGTTATAGATACAGAAGTTGAAGTTCGGAAAGATTAAATGACATAGTCAAGGTCACAGAGTAGGAGGGAGAGCAAGACACTTATACAGCTGTTCTGCCTCCCGCTTCTGACTCTACATCTCAGCGTCTCCACAGAGCTCAGACAGGGTGAAACCCACATAGAAGCATGGACACAGGCATGAGGAAGACAATTAATTCCTCTTCTCAGGTTTTGTTCATTCCAAATTTCTTCATTCATCACAGGTGCCAGAAAATGCCTCAGCATGAGAAGTGACAACCAGAGCTTCTTGGGGGATCCCCCTAAGGACTTCATCCTTCTAGGTGTTTCTGACAGGCCATGGCTGGAACTCCCTCTTTTCGTGGTCCTCCTGGTGTCCTATGTGCTGGCCATGTTGGGGAACATCGCCATCATTCTCGTGTCCCGGCTGGATCCCCAGCTCCACAGCCCCATGTACATCTTCCTCAGCCACCTCTCCTTCCTGGACCTCTGCTACACCACCACCACGGTCCCTCAGATGCTGGTCAACATGGGCAGCTCCAAGAAGACCATCAGCTACGGTGGCTGCACAGTGCAGTATGCCATTTTCCACTGGTTGGGATGCACTGAATGCATCATCTTGGCCGCCATGGCCCTGGACCGCTACGTGGCCATCTGTGAGCCCCTCCGGTATGCGGTCATCATGCACCGCACTCTTTGCCTGCAGCCCGTGTTGGTGGCCTGGCTCAGCGGCTTCTGCAACTCCCTCGTTCAGGTTGTCCTGACAGTGCAGTTGCCCTTCTGCGGGCGGCAGAGCCTGAACAACTTCTTCTGTGAGGTGCCAGCCATGATCAAGCTGTCGTGTGCTGACACAGCCGTGAATGACGCCACGCTGGCCGTGCTGGTGGCCTTCTTTGTGCTGGTCCCCCTAGCTCTCATCCTTCTCTCCTATGGCTTCATCGCCCATGCAGTGCTCAAGATGCGGTCCTCCAAGGGCCGGCGCAAAGCCTTTGGGACCTGTTCCTCCCACCTGTTGGTGGTCTGCTTCTTCTACCTCCCTGCCATCTACATGTACCTGCAGCCCCCTTCCGGCTACTCCCAAGAACAGGGCAAGTTTATCTCGCTCTTCTATTCCATAATCACTCCCACCCTCAATCCCTTCATCTACACCCTGAGGAATAGGGATGTGAAGGGAGCTCTGAGAAGACTCCTGTCAAGGATCTGGAGGCCCTGCAGAAGATGAAGCCCTGAGACGGGTCGAGCTCCACTGGTTACAGGACCCGGGCCCAGCGTACTGTGTGCTTACAGGGTCAACAACCGAACAGTGTGAGTTTTTTGAGAGATTTGTGAGCTCCCAAGCCCCCTGTCCAGAACATTTCACCTCCTGCGTGGCCACAGTCTCTGAAATCCCACCTCCCACTGGAGTCTTTAATTTTAAAAGGCCGTATGTTTTTAACTGTTTAAGCAGAATTGACATTCAATAAGTATTTGTCAAGTTAATTAATTTCTAATGTCCTGATTCTTTCCCCTTCTCATCTTACTATTTTTTCTGCTATTTTTCCCTTTCCCATCTTCTCTCTTCCTTTTCCATTACTCCTAAGTATATATAATGTGAAACCAAAATATAATCTTATTTGTAATAAATTATGTTCTTCTCCATATACTTAAATCTCCATAAATTATATGTGACTTTCAAAGAAATTCCAGAAATGAAGTGACTCACTCCCTTCTTCCTGTGACCTTCGATGACGCAAGTTTTCTTCCTCAGAAAGTTTCCCCCCTGTTGACTGGGAACGAGCACATCATATTCACCGTGGATGTGCCCGACTCTGTGTTAGATTCCACGGGTACATATCAAAATAGCGTGATCTCTCATCTAAAGAAAGAATACACTCTAGCTGAGAACACAAGGTATAAACAAAATCAGAGTTACAGACAATATAACTTTAAATAATAAGTTCAAGATCATGGGCAACATTTGTAAAAGGCTTCCAAGATACAGGTACCAGAGCAGGTGTGTTCACGTACACCACCTTGTTGAAACCTCAGATAACTCCCTGATGCAATCGCTTCTATGATCCGCCATGGTCATAGAGAATCTATTAGAGACGTTGCAGTAACTTGGCCAAGCTCCTTCTGGACTGAGGGACTGAGACCAGCACTAATGCCCACTCTGGTTGCCTCCTTCCTGCTTCAGCAGATGCAGCTGTGATGCTAGGACTTGAGATCTGCATTTTGTTTTTTCATGTTCTTTATTTATGTTTAATTTATTCATTTTTATTCCCCCTGCCATGCATATGCCAAATATTAACATAACCTAGCAGAGAAAATAGATATAATAATAATAACAATTGTATGACAATTAGGACAAAAGGAAAATTAAGGAAGTCTTTCTGACAGCAAAGGCAAAAGGGACATATAAACCACAAAGCTATAGGACTTGATTTAAAAGACGCAAAGGACTGCGTTTATTCCTGATTCCGTGACCACAAAGGATGTTTTCCCTGGGCTGCCACAGAGCAGCCACAGGGTAACAGCTAAAAGCCCTTAGAACTACTGTAGAGAATACATACAATGATGTATAAGCCTTTTTTTCTAACTTTTCCTAGTGGCACAGGTCCCGGACTCAATTCAATGAAAGCCATGTAACATGGATCTGAAGGAAGTCAGTCCACACATACAGCTATGTAGTGATCTGTCTAATTCTAGGACATGTTTGAGGGCCCTGAGGACTGTTTCCAGGAGAGATGTGCTAGCTTAGAGGTCATCTCCAAGTCTTTTCTGATCCTTGCAGTGAGAGGGGGAGACTGATAGAAGGAAGAGAAAGTGATATGCTAGACATTCCCAGGCAGGACCCTAAGAAATCTGCTTATGAGCTTCCTGCTAGTAACGCTCTTTCTGGGTCCCCAAGTCTCCAGGGGAGAGGACTAGCCAGCTAAGACCACGGTGCTGGGGAGGCTGCAGCTGGCTGCTCTCGTCACAGGCCCACCTGAGCCAGGCTTCCAGCTGGCTCTGCCACACCCGGGTGGAGCTATCCTAGACCCTCCTGACCAGCCCACCCACCAGGTGAATACCACCCAGCAACCTCAGTAGACACAACCTGGAGCAGAAGAATCTCTCAGCTGAGTTCTGCACAAGTTCGTAACCCACAAAATGATGAGATTTAACAAATCAGTTGTTACTCTAAGCTGCTAAGTTTCGGGATGGTTTGGCAGGCAGCCATAGACAGCAGGAGCACCAGGGGCCCCTAGGATATTCAGTATCCAAGTTACGTAAAGCCACAGCATGAACATGGTGAATTTTCCAGAAGGATAAATATTACTCAAGGTTTTCTGAGAAAATATTTAACTAAGTCAACTGATAATTAAATTAAAGCAGGCTTCCATTATAATGAACTGACATCATAGATAGAAAAATGTAGATACGTTTTTATAATGAAAGCCAAGATTTCAAATATTTTGTCTGCTTTTGGTGCTCAGCTCTGTATTACTGAAATTCACTTTTCTCTGTTTTTATGAGCACTTTGTGTAGAAATGTGAGAAGCACTCATGAAGAGGAATGGACACGAGGTGCACTCTTCAGGTATCCCATCGAAAGTATCATTTTTGCCAAGAAAGCTTTGGGAATATATTGGCCTGTCTGCGAATATAACGTGACTCTTTAAGTGATTCTTGGACGTGGGTGTTGTATGTTGTGACCTAAGAGCAAAGCCAGAGATCCATGACAGTCACTCACTTGCTGCTCTCGTCAAAATGGAGGGGCGTCATGGTGAGAGGGGAAAGAGGGGCAAATATATTTCGTCGTATCCCTGGTGCTGTCTGAATGCGTTGAGTGCCTTTTAAATCTGAAAGCAACAAAATGAGGTGGATATAATCATTATCTGCATTTTTACACATGCAGGAAAGTGGGGTGACTTGCCCGAGGTGACCAGGCAGGTGGAGGATTGAGACCCTGCGTGCGAGCAGCAATTTTCCATTCCCTACTAAGTGTCCAACCATTCTGTCCAATTTTGACGCTGACTCTTGAGTTAGCACAGATCTCACTGGTTTAAGGGACTTGGTCCCACAAGGCTGCCCCCGCTTCAGACACCAGCTGCAAGTCTCAGGGGCCAGCCCCTTCTAACCAATTCGGCTGGAAATTCGGGGGTTCCTACAGCCCAGCCTTCAGGTTCAATGGTTCACCAGAAGGACTCACATGACTCATTGAAAGCGCTCTGTATGAGGATCGCGATTTTGTAATAGAGGAAGAGCCAAATGGGAGAGACGCAGCGGACAAGGTCTGCTTTGGGGCTGATGCACAGCTTCCGTGCTCTGTCCCTCTGGAGTCAGGGTGTGTCACCCTCCCAACACACACACGGGCGTGACACCAGCCAGGAAGCCCTGCCAAGCCTGAGTGTCCAGGGATTTACTGGAGGCTTTATTATGGAGGCCTGATGGATTAAATTATTGACCATGTGATGGACGCCGTCTCCAGATCCTCTCTCCTACTCAGAGGCAGGGGCAATGGAGTCGAAAGATCTGATCCTCTAATTACATGCTTGGTCTTTCTGGTGTGGCCAACCCCTTGCTTGAAACAATCCAGGGGCCCACCATGAGTTCCACTGAAATTAATCCAGGTGGTGGAAAGGAGCTTTCCACAAATAAATAACAAAGGACACTCCCATCCCTCAGGAAATCCCAAGGGTTTTTGAAGCTCTGTGCCGGGCACTAGGGACAAAGACCAAATATACTTCTTTGTTGTACCACAGACGCGGACTCCCGAAGCCTCATCTTAACCACTACAAGATCTTGAAATAAAGAGAACAAGAGGCATGAGGGGCGCAAATCTGACCGCACTGGAAGTTAGGAGCAGCCCCCTGGACGCACGGCTGTGCCTCCAGCAGCTGCTGCTGAAACCCAGCAGGACGGCGGGGAGAGGGAGCCAACCATCCATCCCTGGACCTGCAAGCCGTGGGGCTCCAGGGAGCATCCCGTCACCATGTCCCTGCTGAGCCAAAGGTCAACCCCTGAGCCACAGGGCGTGGAGTAAATCCCGGGAGCTCCAAGGTCACCAAGCGGCAAATCCCTTAAGACTGGAGCACCCTCCCAGGCAGAGTCCACAGCTGTCCGGTGCTCAGGCCTCCAACAAGCCGGAAGACTCCAGGGCCTTGGTTTCTTCCATCCTCATCTCTCAGCTCCCACTGGGCACAGAGGGGAAACAAATGTGTGACCCATGCTTTCTCCAGAGGCCCTGGCTGCGTCCCCTTTGTGGCCACCCTCTTGCTCCTATTAGAAAGGTGAACGGGGTTCGGGAGGGGACACACTGGGGCTGCCACCTTCCTAGAATGCCCCCAAGTTCTTCACCCCGGACCTGGGAGCTATCATCCTCTCCTCTCTCTAGATTATGATTTTTAATGTAGAGACTAAGAAAGCAGCACTTCTTTAAAAAAACTAAAAGAAAGTGGTACAAATACTCCCTCTCTGACATTTTACACTGTTCCTGACACTTAGAGATTTTCTGCACTTACTAGAAAAATCAATCTCGGACATGATGGTGGCCATTTATCATGCACATAACTGCAAAAACTTTTTGTGACTTCAAGTGGCCCTTGTACGGGAGGAGTAGGCGCCAGATTTATTTAGCAACGCGATGTGGCAATCCTCTGGCATTGAGCCAAGAGGCAGCATTTTAAATGAGAGCTTTAAGAGGAAGGAAGATGGAGCAAGCTGCCACCACTGCTGCGGGAGTGCAGACTCAGGAAGCGGCCTCTGCTGCAGCAGAGGAAGGAGACCAGGGTGGGCACAGCCAGGGGGACCCGCTGTCGGTGCAGGCACTGGATGTGGGGTGCCCGGCTTCACTCTGGGATCAAACCGCCCCACGACCGTGCATAACTGTGGGAACAGGTCTAGCTGGACTGATCTGACTTTGTCCACACTGCTTGTCTCTCCCAGGTCCACCCGCTCTTCCTACAGTTAATGACGATTCTGCTTCCAGTTGTCCAGGCAACTGGGTCACTTTCTGGACCTTCTGTTTGGTTCCACTGGTCTATTTGTCTATCTTTGCACCAATATCTACCAGGGTTTATTTTTCCAGTTTTATTGAGATACAGTTGACATACAACCTTGTATAAGTTTAAGGTGTACAACATAATGATTTGATAATGTATATATTGCAAAATGATCGCCACAATGAGATTAGTTAATGTCGATCACCACACAGTTACAGTGTTTTTCAATGTGATGAGGACTTTTAAGAGCTACTCTCTTAGCAAATTTCAAATATACATGACAGTATTGACTATAGTCACCCACATCCACAGGCCTTATTCATCCTGTCACTGGGAGTTTGTACCTTCTGATCACCAGGTTTTAAGAGCCGTGGCTTCATAGAGGTTGTAACATCTCCTAAGGAAAGTCTTGCTCACTTGCTTTTTTC